GGACGTGATAGGAATTGGTTTTGTGTTGTGGATGTTGCTGATGAGACAGCTCCACTTTGCGAGGTTAAGAGAGACCAGGCTCAGTTGTCTGGATTACCTCACTCTTTTAACAGATATGTTATAAAGACAAAATATATGCAAAGAAATGGTATAATTTTTTTCAGTTATTTTATTACTAGAAGAGTGGTTGTAATTTTGAGGTTAGTTTTTGTAAGTTTTAGAATAAAGTACATGTATTAATATTACTCAGAATTAAGTCCTTCCAGAAAAATGAAATGCAAAGCAGACTCATTTTTTTAAACACAGAGGACAAGTAAATGTTATTAGAAGAATATCACATATTACAGTTCATTTTAAAACAAAACTGAAAAACTTGCTGGCATTATATACCAGCTGCTCCAACAGGAGAAAAATGGGCAGTTTTCTCCTGTGTGGTTTACAGCATGTGAAAATCCACTGAAAGGTGAACCGTGAGTTGGTTCTGACTTGATGGTGCATACAATATAACAACAAAACAATTTTAAAACAGTATGACTAAAGCCCAAGAATGACAATGTCATTTTGACTGGATATTTCTCTCTCTCTCTCTCTCTCACACACACACACACACACAGAGTTTCTCAGCTTAAAGGGAAAATGTATATTCTGTAGAACAACCAGATTTAGATGTACTTTCTCTCTAGAATGGAACATTTTCATTCTAAACACCTCACTTCCTATTACTGTCTCCTTCCTTTCGTATCCCAATGCCAAAATTCTTTTACTCCACAATCTACTGAAGCTACAATATTTTCATCAGTTCTTGCTCACCTCATATTTTTAACTCCCTCCAGATATATAACAGTCAAGAAATCGAAAGATGAATTGCATTAGGAAAATCTGCTGTCAGGGACCTCTCCAGAGTACTGAAAAGCAACAGTGTGAGTCTAGAGATAAAAGTTCTGACTAATCCAGGACATGGTCTTTGCAATTACTTGCTATGCATTAGAGAGCTGGACAATGACTAAGGATGACAGAAGAAGAATTGATGCCTTTAAATTGTGCTGGAGAAGTCTTGAGCATACCTTGAACCTCCAAGAAAACAAACAGGTCTGTCTTGGAGAGGGTGAAATCAAGTTTCTCCTTGGGGGCTAGGATTTTGAAGCTCTGTCTCACATACTTTGGGCAGTGGCCAGGAGAGACTAGTCCTTGGAGGTCACCATACTCAGAAGGGTTTAGGGACAGCACGGGAGGGGAAGACCCCAGATGAGAAGGATTGATACAGTAACTGGGGCCATAGGGCAGGCTTTGGAGCTGTTCTCCACAGGGTCACTATGGGTCACGGGCTACTCTATGGCAAACAACAACAACAACAACTTATATATTATCATAATCACCACTCTATACACACTGTCAATTTTCTTGTTCCTCTCTTAACTCATTACACTCATTTAAATTGGTCCTTCTCTTGTACTTTCAAGGTAAGTTTCTCTTTTGTTTTGATGATTGCAGTTGGTTCCAAACAGGTCTCCTTACTTATAACCTTGTCCTTCCTATAGTCTAATCTCAACACAACAATTAATTCTTAAAAATTGCTAACATACTTTGTCACTAAGTTGAGTATGCCTCATAGTGACCCAAGAAACTGCTGACTTGAGCTCTACCCTATTCTGTGCCACCCTCATTATCTCAGACATACTAGAGCGCATTGCTGAAGTCATACTATAATGGATAGTAAAACCCGGCATTCTTGTCCAAGTTTCCAAAGTCTTTTCACATAACTCAGAATAAAAATCAATGTCTTTACAATGGCTCCTGAGATCCTATAAAATCTAGGTGTCTTTATAATCTCATTTCCTACCACCTTCCCCCTCTCATTCTGTTCTATCATGCTGCTTTCCTCGTTGTTTCGGAAAACTGTAGGCATGCTTGTTTTATACTTAGGTAAAGTTCTCTTCCTTCCTTCACGCCTTCTATGCATACCTCTTCAGGGAACTCTGCTCTCTCTGTACACTCTATGGTACATATAATTTTATTTTCTTATGTTGTCATTAGGAGCCCTAGAGTCAACTACAAGTCACATCTATCCTATGAAAAGAAAAGACTTGAACCTCGCCCTCTCTTGCACCGTCCTCACAATCTCTGTCACGCTCAAGCCCACTATGTCAATCCACATGTTGAGGGAATGCCTTTGTATCCCTGACCCTGAACTTTTCCAAACACGATGTCTCTCTCCTGACAACATGCCAAAGGAAGTGAGACAAATTTTCACCATCCTTGCCTCTAAGGAGCATTCTAGTTGCACTTCCTTCAAAACAAATTTTTATGTTCTTGTGGCAGTCTATGGTATACTTAATATTCTTCACCAATACCACAATTCAAAGGTATCAATTCTTTTTTTATCTTCCTTATTCACTGTCTAGCTCTCAGAAGTAGAGGGAGTAACTGAAAAGACCATGGCTTAGATCAGGTGCACCTTGATCTTTAAAATGACAAAATTGTTCTTTAGAACTTTGGATAGGTCCTTGACAACAGATTTTCCCAATGCAACATGTCTTTTGATTTCCTGACTGTTGCAATTATTATTATTAATATTGTTAATATTATTTACTGAGTGTGGATCCAAGGTAAACAAAATTGTTGACAACACTGGTCTTTTCCCACCTATCACGATGTTGCCTATTGATCCAGTGATGAGGATTTTTGTTTTACGTTGAGGTATTCCTCAGATTGAAGGCTGTATTCTCTGATCTTCTACAGTAAGTGCTTTAAGTATTCTTCACTTCTGTAAGCATGGTTGTGTCACCTGTATGATGCAAACTGTTGATGAGTCTTCCTCCAATTCTGATGCCACATTCTTCTTCATATACTCCACCTTCCCAAATCATTTACGCAACAGATTGAATAGGTATGGAGGAAGGATACAACCATAACACATACCTTCCCTGATTTTCAGCCATGTAGTATTCCTTTGTTCTGTTTGGACAACTGTTTCTTGACCTATGTATAGGTTTCACATGAACATAGTTAATGTTCTTGGGTTCCCAATTCTTCTCAATGTTAGCCATAATTTGTTATGATCCACACAGTTTTTGTTTAATTGACTTTGTATAGTCAATAAATTAACTTAGCTCAGATCCCACCGCTACCACCAAAAAAACAAAACAAAACAACCTCCTTCCCTCCAAAATTAACTTTTCATTAATAAAATACAAGTCAACATCTTTCCGGTATTCCGTACTTTCAACTAAGATTTGTCTGATATCAGCAATGCTATCGCTGTACCATAGCCTCTTCTGAATCTCTTTAAATTTCTGACAGTTTTCTGTCAAGCTCTGGTGGCCTAGTGGTAAGAAACTGTACTTCAATCCCAAAGACATGCAGTTCAAATCCACCATCTGCTCTGTGGAAGGGTTACCACCTAAGTAAGTTCCAAATTGACAATCACAACACAACAACAGCAAAACCTAGCATGCATGTGATATTAATGATATTGTTTAAAAATTTCCAAGTCTGCTGAATCATCTTTTTTGGAAATGGGAATAAATATGGATTTCTTCTAGTCAGCTGTCTTCCAAATTTGTTGGTGAAGAGTCGTGACCATGTTCAGGGTTGCATCTGATATCTGAAACACCTCAGATGGCATTCCATCATTTTCTGGGACCTTACTTTTTGCCACTGTTATCAGTACAACTTGAACTTCTTCCTTCATTATCACTGGTTCTTGATCATATGCTACTTTTCTGAAATGGTCCAGTGTTGATCAATCCTTCCTCTCTCAGCAACATTCTGGCTGCACCTCCTCCATGATATATCCATTTGAAGTTTCTCATACCACTCACCCTGTACATATTTAATTTATATATTGTTACTTGTCACTCTGACATGTAAGCTCTGTAAGAACAAGTAAATTTGCCTGTCTGGTTCATTGTGCCTATGATAATCCTTGGTACACCATAACAATTACTAAACACCTGTTAAGTGAATAAATAAAGTAACTTTGTCCCTTTGTCAGGATTAAGTCTTTAAAAATGAAACATGCAACATTACATAGTTTTAAGATTAGGTTAAAAGAAAGATATTTTGGGTTAAAAAAATTAAAATTAGACTATAAACTGCAAGTTATCATAAGCTTACTTTCCATGCAAAAAGATAGAGCTTTCTTTTCTGGGAGTTAACTTTCAAATAAGTAAGTATGCTTATTCACTTTTATAGTGCTAACATTTTAAGAAAACTGATTAGTAGTATATTATTTTCTCATTTTTTTAGCATAAAAGTCAGTATTATGAGAAAAATAAACATTAGAAAGTGAATAAAAAAAAAGAAAGTGAATAAAAAGTCAATTCTAGTACTGCAATCCTCAGTATCAGGCATAAAAGGTTTAGGATTTAAAACTTATTATCTGGTATTCAAAGGCTAAGAAAATGAATTACTGCACATCAACAAATGGATAGAAAAACTATGGTATATTCACACAATGGAATACTATACTGAAAAGCAAGGAACTCATAAAATATTAAACATGGGGGACCTGGAAGGACATTATGCTGAGTAAAATATCTTAGTCACAAAAGGAAAAATACTGTATAACATCACTGTCATAAAACAAGACTGACATAGGGGTTGGAGGAAACTAAGAAAAGACAGGACAAATAATGAATACTACATTGGAACAGATGAAGGAAAGAACTATTTAAAAAGAATATATGATTATGTATTCTTTGTATGACAGCAGTGCAGAAGAGGATGTACACAGCAAAGTGGACTGGGGGTGGGGAGGAGGAGGGCGGAACTTATGCAACAATAAATGAATTTTTCAAAAAAAGTGAACTGGGGTGCAGGGAGGAAAATGTGTAACAATGAATGAATGAAAATCCAGCTTTTCTGTAAATTTTCATTAAAATCACAATTAAAAAGAAAATGAATTACAAAATTACACAAACATTACTTGCATTTAACAGTTTAAACAGTATGTTAGAAACCAAAATGTTAGTTCATAATAAGTTCATAGTAACACTCACCTACAACACCATTCAATACGACCTTCGCCCTCGCAAGTTTTTGCCCAATGATTATCTGCCAGATTTTTCATTGCAACAGCATATTCACAAAGGGTTTCCTCGTCCTCACAGTGTTCTCGCCAGATCTTATCAAAATCACCCACTAGAAACAAAGGGAAAAGTAAGTTAACTTTACGTCAAAACATGTTCTGGCTCTTCTAAGTTTTAGTGTAATTTGAAAGCATTTGAAGATACTCCAACTCTGAATGTCTCTCCAGCTCTGGTGACGATGATAAACAAAATAAGGAAGTTAACAGGAATACAAAATGTCTATGGGATTATATGTTATGTATTTAGGCTGTTTTTAAAAACAGAATTGACAGTGACACCTAGTGATGCAGTAGTTAAAGCATGCACTGGTAACAGAAATTTCAACAGTTTGAAACGACCAGCTGCTCTTCTGTAGAATGATGTGACAACCTATTTCTATAAAGGTTTCTTGGAAACTCTAAGGCAATTCCCTGTCCTATATAGAGACATTTACCAGTTGAAACAGTTTCTAGCAGCTCCTTCTTCCTTATTTTTAAGAATAATAAGATATGGATCATACTCTATCTGTTGTTTGTTGTTATGTGCCATCGAGTCGTTTGCGACTCATAGTGACCCTATGTACAAGAGCTCTAAATGCTGTTCTATCCTGTGCCAACCTAGCCATCTCAAACACACTTATTCCCACTGCTCCAGTCACAGAATTGATCCATCTCATCTAGGGTTTTCCTCTCCTGAGCAGTCCCTCCACTCTCCCAAACATGATGTCCCTCTCCAAGGACCAGTCCCTCCTTGCAACATGCCCGAAGTATGTCAGACGAAGCTTCAGAATCCTTGACTCCAAGGAGCATTGCGGTTTCACCTTCTCCAGGACAAACCTATTTGTTCTCCTAGCTGTCCATGGTATATTCAACACTCTTCTCCAGCAGCACAGCTAAAGAAATCAATTATCTTTCTATCAACACTGTCCAACTCTCTGATGCATAGCACTTAATTAATTAAAATGAGACTCTGAGTTTCTATGCCTTTTTATCTAGGAAGTCAAATTTTATTAGCATTTAAAAAAATCATAGCTTGGAGAGCTCTGGTGGCAAGAAGCTGCAATTCAATCCCAGAGGTGAGTGGTTTGAATCCACCAAATATTCTTCTAGAGAAGGAGGGACAATCTCCTCCTGTACCAGTCAGATCTGATTTGACAGTGTGTGTGTATACACACACACACACACACACAAACACAGTCTTAATGAAATAAACTAGAATCCAAATCCACTGGTAAGTAGTTGATTTTGACTCACAGCTGCACTCCCTGGATTTCCAAGGTTGTAAATCATAAAGGAAACAGTCTCATCTTTCTTCTGGGGAGCTGGTGAGTTCCAAATGCTGATCTTATGGTTAGCATCCCATGTTTAACCTACTATGCCACCAAGACTCCTTTAATATGGTTAATTGTTGCTGTTGATGTTGTGAAGTGCCATGCAGTAAAGTACAAGTATGAGCAATTCTGACCTCTGTCCTATCCTGCACCACCCTTATCCTTGACACGTCTGAGTACTGCAGCAGACCCTGTATCAATCTGCCTCACTGAAGATCTTTTGCTTCTTTGTGACCCTCTATCTCTGCAAGAATGATGTCCTTGTCAGGAAATAGCCTCTCCTAAAAATATGCCCAAAATATGTGAGATGAACCTTCATCATCTGTGCCTCTAAGAAACATTCTGGCTGCGCTTTCTCTAAGGCATTTACGTTTGTTCTTTTGGCAATCCAGGGGATAGTCAGCACTCTTCTCCAAAACCATAACTCAAATGAATCTATTCTTCTCCTGTCATCCTTCTTTATTGTCCAGCACTCAGATGCATAGCAGGTGACTGGAAAGACTGGCTTGAATCAGACGCACCTTAGTCTTTAAACTGGTATCACTGTTCTTAAAGATTTTGGAGAGATCTCAGAAAGCAGATTTCCCCAATACTAAATGTCTTCCAATCTCCTGAATGCTAGTACCAAGGGTGTTGACTGTGGATGCAAGCAAGACGAAACAGCTGACAATTTTAATTTTTTCCCCATCTATCATGACGTTGCTTATTGGTCCAGTGGTAAGGACTTTTGTTTTCTTGATGTTGAGATATAACCTATACTGAAGGCTGTAGTCCTTGATCCTCTGCAGCACACACTTCAGGTTCTCCTCACTTTCAGCAAGCAAAGTTGTGTCATCTCCATAACACAGGCTGTTGATGACATCTTCTCCAATCTTGATGCCACTCTTTTTCATAAAGTCTTGTTTCTCAAATGATTTGTTCAGTATTCAGATTGCATAAGTATAGAGGATACAGCTGACACACAGAACAGTGAAATGGAACAAACATTATATGATCAAATACATTGAGAAGAGCTAGTTATAGCACATTATACACATTTTCCTGTCTACAGAGGGTACCATCTAAGAAAATCCTACATACACTCACTCACTGTCATTAATTCAGTTTTGACTCAGCAATCCTCTACTGGGTTTCCAAAGGTTTAAAATGTAGATAGTAGATAGCCTATCTTTCACCACTGGAGTAGATTTGGACTGCTGGATACATACAGACTTTGGGTTAACAACACAACTTGCTATGCATTATGCCACCAGAACATCCTAAGGTTCTGGATACAAGTAGTTTCTTTGGGAGAGAATCCCAGGAGCCAGAAGTAAAGTGGCAATGAAGCAAGAAAAAGCCACTAGTCATACATTCTTGAGACTACTGTTGTAGGCCAGAGAAGACTATACAAACTGCTTCTCAGAACTGTCTGACTGATTGATGGGAGGCTAGCACACTCATCGAGTGGGCCTCACCTTCCAATAATGGAAGGCTCTTCAAAACTTGCACTTCTAGTCTGATTATAGGAACGGGACAAGATGACGTCTGCCATAGAATCAGCAGTGCAGGACAAAGCAAGCAGGAAAGAGCAGCTCCTATTTATAATAAGACTTTCAGGGCTGAATCACAGTGAATACTCCAACACAGTTGAAGACCAAGAACATGTGGGCACCAGAAGCACTTAGTTCAAATTTCCAGACTTGTAAAAAAGTCACGGTATACTTGGAAATTCTGCTAGGTATGAGATGCAAACCCAAAATGTGAGTTTATTCCTCCCCAATTCAAAAGACTTCTAGTTTTCACATTGATCAAAATACTCTAAATATTTCCATTTCTTATGGAGTTTTAAAGAGTTCTGGGTAAAGTATGTTACATGTTGTGCTGCTAACCCAAAACTCAGTAGTTCAAAACCACCAGCCAGAGGGATGGAATGTCTCCTTCCACAAATATTTACAGCTTCAAGAACACAATGGAGCGTTGCTATGAGATGGAATCAAATGAACTTGATGGCAGTGAGTTGTGTAGTTGGAAGACTTACTATCTACTTCACTGGAGCTTTGAAGAGGGATTCAGATTTTGTCTGCTGGTTTATTCAGCTCAAATTTTACTCTAGATTAGAGACAACTTCAATTTCGTGTTTTTATGCAAATTACGTCAAATGCGTTAACAGTAAAATTGACACTCTGGTAACTTCTTGTCTGACTGTTTCATACACTTAAATAAATACACACCTGCTCACGTACTTTGAGCATGGTGCTAGGTGAGGCTATTCCTTGGAGAGGGACATCATGCTTGGAAAGGTGGAGAGAAGGCAACGGCGAGGAAGGCCCTCAGCCAGGTGGACGGACACAGTGCCTGCAGCAATGTGCTTGAGTGTGTCAGGAATTGTGAGGATGGCACAGAAAAGGCCAGCGTTCTGATCTGTTGTTCATAGGGTGCTATGAGTCATACTCAACTGGATGGTACCTAAAAATAACAACAGTTCCTTATTTTGGTTTTCTTTACCAACACTGCAATTTAAAGGCATCAATTCTTCTTCAGTCTTCCTTTCTGCATAACTTACACATGCACATGGACCAAGTGGAAACATTATGGCTTGGATCACACACACTTCAGTCTTTAAAATTATGTTCCTGTTCTTTAGTCCTCCACCCAGTTTGTTTGCAGATGTGCCCAATGCAACACAGTTTGATTTTTTAAATTGCTGCTTCCATGGGTGTTGACTGTTGACAAAAGTAAAATGAAATTCTTGACTACTGCAATCTTTTCTTTGTTCATCATGATGTTGTTAGTTGGCCCAATTGTGAGAACTTTTGCTTTATGTTCAGGTATAATGCATACTCAAGGCTTCAAGCTTTAGCAAGAAATGTGTCATGTCTTTGTGTTCTATAATAAAAGTTGTGTATCTGTATATCAGAAGTTTTGGACACCTCTCCCCCTAATCTTGATGCCACAATCTTCTTCATATAGTACAGCTTCTCAGATTATTTGCTCAAAATACTGAACGACTAGGTTATGATACAAAGGATACAAGCCTCATAAACATTTTTTCCTGATTTTAAACCATGTAGAATCTTTGTCCTGTTTGAATGACTGCTTCCTATTCTATATACAGGTTCTGCATGAGCACAATGAATGCTCTGGGATTCCCATTATTTTCAATGTTTTACATAATTCGTTAGGATTCATGTAGTTGAATGCCTTTGCATATTCAATAAAACACAAGTAAACATCTTTCTTGTATTATCACCTGTTTTCAGGCAAGATCCATTTGATCTTCTGAAGGAAGCTTAAATTGTGTTGGCAATATATACTGAATATGCCATGAACTACCCAAAGATCAAATAAATCTGATTTGGAAAAATCACAGTCAAAATGCTTTGCTTCTTACAAGCAAAAATGGTGAGATTCTGTCTCACACACTTTGGGCATATTCTCAAGAGGGCCAGTCCCTGGAGGACATTTTGCATGGAAAAGTAGAAAGTACATGAAAGAGAAGACCTTGAAGGAGCTGGATTGATACAATTATTAGCAACAGAAAGATTAAGCACAGTAAGTTGTGAGGGTTGCAACAGGGCCAGATTTGGTTTTGTTGTACATGGGGTTTTGTTGTAAGCTAGAGCTGACTCTACAGGCCTTAACAAGACTCCTGAGTTGCTGATTATCAAGTCACTCAAAATTTTACATTTATG